AGAACTTATGTCCAACAACAACCTAACTTATGCATAAGGCATGGCAGCGTAATGCCCAAGAAATGTCACAAGTCAGTGTCCTGAGGGGGGCAGAGATTTGCCCGGTGGCACCCAGCCTTCATAAAAAGCACAAGAAGATTCCATTAAACAACATTATACAGTAGCTCTAACTTAGAAATACGTTCAGCTCTCATCTGGAACATGTTAAATACGTTGATATGCGTTTGAGATAAGTTCTCGATAAGCTACACATAAATGAGATACTCATAGGTTTTGGATAGGCTAGACACTACGACTTACGAGTAATACACACTTAGCATATGTCAACGATCAAATAACTTACTTGTAACTTATGCCCCACGTAGGGCCAGACGATATAGAAAAAAAGCTTATCGATAAAAAAAAAATGCATATTGATCGATAACGATAATTATTGAAAAGATTTGAAACCATATTTTATGTGCAGCTCTGCCTGGACTTTTTATGATATTGCTAAATGATTAAATTTTTATAAAGAACACAAACACAGACTTCCAATTAAATCTTTATTTAACCAACTTTTTTTAACCATAACAGAATTGTTTAAAGAAAAATAGCATAAGAGACCTGAGTTATGTTATTAAATACTGACAAAGAATAAACTAAGTGACCAGAAAAGTGACCAAAATAAATATAACAAATAAATAAATAGAATACCCTATTTGGGTGGGAATAGTAGTCCACCAGCTTGTGGTAATTAAAAGATTGTAGGACTAGGCTAGCATGTAAACAAACTCCACTCAACAAGAACATAAACCCAAACAAAAATTAACTCTCTCTTTAGTCTAACAATTCTATGGGGTCTTTTTTCTCACCCCCATTCTTCTAGAGGTGCTGCTGGCACCTCGTTATGGTTCAGCTTAGGTTCCGGCTTTAACCTGAGTTATTACTTTGATTACTTTACATTTTTCTCTCAATTGTTAGAACTACGTGGGAAATTCCCCAGAACGGAATATATATATATATATATATATATATATATATATATATATATATATATATATATATATATATATATATATATATATATATATATATAATTTTTTTTTTTCCCGAAATTCCCGAAGATCCCGTGGCCTACACAGCTCGTACTCCTGCGGGTGTGAGCGGCTGAGATGATAAAAAAAAAAAAAGTTGGTTGTGTTATCAGACTTCCTTTTTCACTGGTTCCCTACAAGGTTTACAGATGATCGTGGTTTGTTTTTTGTCGGACTTGCCATGACCGAAATACTGCCAAACTGGCGAACTACAAAAACCCTTTATTTGGAACAATTTCCTCCGCCTCTCCTTCATGTGCTCCGTGTTGTGGTTTGAGAGGGCAGCGCTTTGTGACGTCGTGCCTGGGTCCGCGATTGCGATTGGTTGGGAGGAAGTAGTGACTAGCATAAACCTACATGATAGGCTACAATGAGAAGGAAGGAAAACTGCTTTTTTTTATCGAACTTTTATCGACCCTCCTTTTTTCTATTGCGCCACACGTCTATCGATCGATATATATCGTTATTGAATTATCGCCCAGCCCTAGCCGCATGTATGAGCATACGCTGGCATACGTGCGGAAATTTCTCTATGTACTTGCTATATGTTGACTTGTGCCAGCATGTTTCAGCTTACTTCAGCGCGCTCATAACTAATAAAAACTGACCCATAACTTATCCAACATAGGCCAGCGTTTTTGTCAGATTTTTCGTTCGTCAGGCATACCCTGGCTTAATTGCCAAGGTGTGACAGGGGCTTAACATGCATAAGTATGACACACTGTCTACAGTGCACAAATACCAAATTTCCTTTCAGCTTAAACACTCCACAGTAACAGACACTCTTCTGCATTGCTTTTAAATTTCCAAGTTATGGATACATATGCAAATCTGTATAGGAAGGGCCCCAAAAGTAAAAAGTGTTGGCTGCACATGCAGTTTAATGTGTAGTTATTCTAAAGCTGAGATCTTTCATTAACAGTGTGTCATTTACCTCCCTGTTGTCTCCTGCAGAGGTGAGGTGGCATTTTTCACATTTCTTTTGTGCTACTGTGTAACAAAAACAACCTTTTGCTGGATTAAATAAATCCTGGATCAAGTTAAACAGCTAATATTTACAATTCCTATGTCTTATTTACCCTATTTTTCATTTTTTTTTTTTTTTTAGATTCATTCCTAAATTTAGTGAAGAGGTAATAATTTGAAAAGAATAATGATCTTTTTAAAATCAGTTCAACAAATAATGACCTTCTTCATCTTTAATTTTTTATACTGATTTTTTAAGCTAGGGCTTAGGGGTTAGGGCTACCCTAAAACAGTTTAGAAATTCTGTAGTATGAGAAATTAAAAAATAATACAAAATCTCTGTTTTAAAATTTCCAATAAAATTTTACTAAAAGTAAAATCATTTTCTTTTGAAACAGAAAAACATCCAGTAATCTTACTGCTGTTAAAAAAAGAGAACATAATATTTGGTTGATCAAATCTATAATCCATACAGTTTCTTTATTGTAGTTTAGATGTTTTTATATACACTTAAGTATAAATGCACATTAGATAAAATATTTGCCTTTTCACCATTTTGCTCCTGATAATTGAGATCTGGGAGTGTAAGAGTATATGAGCTGGGTCTACAGTCAGTCGTTTTGAAGTGTTTCACTGGTAAAATGTTTAAAGCGAAAGCTTAAATTCTCCAAAATTCAACCACCTAGTTCATTTTATGGACATAGCGAGCACCAAAGCACAATTAATACAGATATAGCAGCATGTCAAAATGTACCATGACAAAGCAGCCACAATAAGCAAGCTTGTCTTTATAACTGCTGTTCAAAAATACCTATTATTTTCAAGAATAAAATAATTAACAACTTTGAGTCTTGTTTGAGCCGATGCAGCTTGGGTGTTTTACTCACCCAATTTTCAAGTATTTATTCAGAAACTAGAAGGTGTTAGCTTTCAAATAATGTATCACACATGTAATTTGGGCTTACGGTTCCTCGGTTATTTGCTTTCCCATTTGGGTATGCAAAATAGGCGAGAATTTCCCAAAAGTCAAAATGAGGTGGATATTAAGAGGTTATAAAACCTGTGTTTACCAAACACTCCCTCCAGTCAGCTAAGCCATGCCAAAGAGCAAGAAATCACTTGTTTTAAAATCAGTACCGGATTCAGTTTCTGTTCCCTGACTCACAGTTTTAGATTTTTCCAGCCCATTATTTCCCCATCATATACAGGTGCTGGTCATAAAATTAGAATATCATGAAAAAGTAGATTGATTTCAGTAATTCCATTTAAAAAGTGAAACTTGTATATTATATTCATACATTACATACAAACTCATATATTTCAGATGTTTATTTTGTTTAATTTTGATGATTACAAATGACAACAAATGAAAATCTCAAATTCATCATATCAGAAAATTAGAATATTACTGAAGACCAATAAAAACAAAGGATTTATAGAAATGTTGGCCAACTGAAAAGTATGAACATGAAAAGTATGAGCATGTACAGCACTCAGTATTTAGTTGGGCCTCCTTTGGCCTGTATTACTGCAGCAATGCGGCGTGGCATGGAGTCGATCAGTCTGTGGCACTGCTCAGGTGTTATGATAGCCCAGGTTGCTCTAATAGTGGCTTTTAGCTCTTCTGAATTGTTGGGTCTGGTGTATTGCATCTTCTTCTTCACAATACCCCATAGATTTTCTATGGGGTTAAGGTCAGGAGAGTTTGCTGGCCAATTAAGAACAGGGATACCATGGTCCTTCAACCAGGTACTGGTAGCTTTGACACTGTGTGCAGGTGCCAAGTCCTGTTGGAAAATGAAATCTGCATCTCCAAAAAGTTGGTCAGCTGCAGGAAGCATGAAGTGCTCTAAAACTTCCTGGTATGTGGCTGCGTTGACCCTGGACCTCAGAAAACACAATGGACCAACACCAGCAGATGACATGGCACCCCAAACCATCACTGACTGTGGAAACTTTACACTGGACTTCAAGCAACGTGGATGAAGTGCCTCTCTTCTTTTCCTCCAGACTCTGGGACCTTGATTTCCAAAGGAAATGCAAAATTTACTTTCATCAGAGAACATGACTTTGGACCACTCACCAGCAGTCCAGTCCTGTTTCTCTTTAGCCCAGGCAAGACGCTTCTGACGCTGTCTGTGGTTCAAGAGTGGCTTGACACAAGGAATGCGACAGCAGAAACCCATGTCTTTCATACGTCTGTGTGTGGTGGTTCTTGAAGCACTCACTCCAGCTGCAGTCCACTCTTTGTGAATCTCCCCCACATTTTTGAATGGGTTTTGTTTCACAATCCTCTCCAGGGTGCGGTTATCTCTCTTGCTTGTACACTTTTTTCGACCACATCTTTTCCTTCCCTTCGCCTCTCTATTAATGTGCTTGGACACTGAGGTCTGTGAACAGCCAGCCTCTTTAGCGATGACCTTTTGTGTCTTGCCCTCCTTGTGCAAGGTGTCGATGGTCGTCTTTTGGACAACTGTCAAGTCAGCAGTCTTCCCCATGATTGTGTAGCCTATAGAACTAGACTGAAAGACCATTTAAAGGCTTTTGCAGGTGGTTTGAGTTAATTAGCTGATTAGAGTGTGGCACCAGGGGCCATCAATTTTGAACCTTTTCACAATATTCTAATTTTCTGATATGATGAATTTGAGATTTTCATTTGTTGTCATTTGTAATCATCAAAATTAAACAAAATAAACATCTGAAATATATGAGTTTGTATGTAATGTATGAATATAATATACAAGTTTCACTTTTTAAATGGAATTACTGAAATCAATCTACTTTTTCATGATATTCTAATTTTATGACCAGCACCTGTAGGTCAGTGTGACATCAGCTAAAAACTAACTTATATTACTGATATTTACTGCATGTAGTTTTGTTGCGGTGTGAACTCAGGGCTATCACATTTATTTTTTCATGCCACTAAAATCCTCCTTTCTTGTTTCTGTCCTACAGGTCAGTGTGTTGGAACGTCAGGTGATTGATTTCCTGGGCTACCAGTGGGCTCCCATCCTGACCAACTTCCTGCACATCATCGTCGTCATCCTTGGCCTGTTTGGCACCATTCAGTTTAGGCCCAAATATGTCACAGGAGTGAGTTCCGCACACCAAACACACGCATGCAGTTCAATATATCATGAATTTAACTTGTTGTTTAGCATAACTGGCACCCGCTTTAGGAGTTAAGAGGCTGAGTGATGCTTTAGTCACAGTTTAATAGTAGGATCTTTTTACCACGTGGGGGCCCAATCTTGACACAGCTCTTTACTCCTACAAACAATGTTTAGTGAGATGACTCAGGCGATGAAAGCTGCATATATTTAGCCTTTTTTCAGTTCTTTCCTACAAATCTTTTTTTTTATGTGTAGAAACTCTCAATCCATTCTCCCTCCCTGTCGGATTTGATTCAGAAGATTGGTTGCAATCTTCGCTGTTGTTTTTCCTTGTCTGCATTTTAACAACATCAAAAGTGAAGCCTCCCTCTGTCTTCTTGTTTTTCCTCTTCCTCCATCTCATTCGCTCCAAAAGCAAGACAAGAACACGTTTTCCTTTTAATTCCACCAGCCGAAGCTTGTCAGATCTCCTCTCTGTGTCTGACTCCTCTCTGTGTCTCCCTCTGTGTGCAGTATGCAGCCTGGCTCGTCATCTGGATGACCTGGAATGTTTTCATCATTTGTTTTTACCTGGAGGTTGGAGATCTGTCCAGAGTAAGCAATCATTGTTCTTCTTATTCTTGTCAAAGTATTTCTGCTGCTCATGTCTGGGTTAAGAACTCCTCTCACTGCCTTGCTCTGTTACATCAGTGGGACATTTTCTAGGTGTTTTGATTCAAAAGGTAGAGTTGGAACAATTCAATAAATCCTTATGTAAAGGCAGAGCCCAGCAGTGCATTGATCCCTTTAACAAGTGTTGCCCTTTAGCCTCATATGTCTTCCACCTCTCTGCTGCAGTTGTTATCCTGAAAGCAATGAATACTTTCCTGAGTAATTCTGTTCAAACATGGGCAATCGCCTGAACAATCCTGCTCATACCAAATTACTCAGTGAGGACTGGTGTGCTGCTAAAACCGTGCTAATGTCCATTAGATGTCCTCTCATCAGAATAACTTTTGTCAACATTTGCAATGCCTGGTAAATGGGTGAAAAGCATGTGTGAAAAAATAATTGAAAGATATGCTACAGAGGTTTTTTTTTATTTGAACAAACAAAATAAACATTTAAAAAAATGTTACATATTCTTCTTTGTGCATGTGCGGTTTGACAGTGGTTATAGCTGATTATCTGGTTCTATCAGAGCTCCTTTTAAATTATTTAGTTATTAGGCTTTGGAAAATGATCTCATGACCACCAATCGAGGGGCCACAAAGTTGACCTGTCCACTTAATTAGGCTGAGTTGATTCACAACTCATCGATTCGAAACTTTCAGAAATCTATGCAGCATTCTGACATGCAGCTCCAATGTTTCACAGCAGCTGTTCATAATGCTAATAAATGTCTTTTAAATGACAGATTTTGTTATAATCTGGTAAATAAAGATAAAATAAAATGCTTCGCATCAAGTAATCAAAGGTGTTTGCCTACATGGAGGTGGAAAAACTGAGTTAACTATAATTAATCTTTCTAAAAGCACTAAGTAGTATCTTTAAGTTGTTTATCTTCTTGATCTATGAGAGCTGCAGAAAGCACCTTAAAGAAATAATACATGTTTATTGTAGCTGCTACCACTCAGCAGAGATCATTTAAAACTTTTAATTAAGCTCCTCTAATGAATAAAGATATCACTGGTGTCCTTGGATGGGAAGGGTCATGTGATTTTAGCTGGAAACAATCTCTAGCTGCTTCAGCAGACTTTTTGCTCATGCTTTAGCACCTCTGATTAGATACAGCTATTCATCCAGCTGTTAGATGTGTTAATTAACACCTTCAATCCTTCAACCTTCAGTGTGGTTAGAAGGATAGCATGTCAAAAGGTACTTTACCTAACTGGATAAAACTATTAATTTTACATCCTATTTTATTTAATTAGGTTTCAATTCAGTTTATTTATATAGTACCAATTCACAATACATGTAATCTCAAGGCACTTTACAGAGACAATTCAACCAGATCATATCGTCAGATTGATTCAAAGTTTTCTATCTAAGCAAAACCAGTTGATACATCAACTCCTTGACTCGAAGGTAATTCCTTACACCAAGCATGCTTGTAGCGACAGCAGAGAGGAAAAACTCCCTCAGTCTGAGCAGCCATCTGGTGAGGCCGACTCGGGTTCAATGAGATAGAAGCAGACATACATAAGGAAGCAGAGATACAAAAGGCAACTGTCAACCAGCTCCACAGGCGACCCCATCCAGGAAACACACAGCCATGCTGACGAGTAAGTCCCATGTCAGAAGAAGAAGAGCGCACATACAGTTAGCCACAGTCAGAGAAACAGGACTACACTGAAAAACAGGCCAAGCTCCTTAGACTTATACAAGTTTTATTGTCATTTTGTTCACACAGAGTGTATACAAAACAAAATTTTATTTGTATAAGTATAAACAAAGGTGTTGATGGCAGCAACATAGCTGATATTTCTCTCCAGGATGGTGTCAGGGGCCAAAGAGGAACAGACCAGATGAAGCTACTGTGAGAAAAAATAAAGAGAGCATGACATACGAGACTGAACTAACAAATACTACAGAATGGGATAATGGAGATAGAATGACACAGAATGATGAAAAAGGGTCCCTATGTCCTCTAGCAGTTTAAGCCTCTAGCAGCACAACTGTAGAGATAGCTCGGGATAACCTGAATCATTGTAACTATAAGCTTTATGAAAAGGAAAGTTTTAAGCCAACCCTTAAAAGTAGACAGGATGTCTGCCTCACGGACTAAAACAGGTGGATGTTTCTACAGGAGAAGAGCATGATAACTAAAAGATCTGTCTCCCATTTTACTTTTAGAAATTCTAGGAACCACTAGCAAACCTGCCGATCGAGAGCAAAGTGCTCTGTAAGGGACATACTGTAAGGAACAATCATATCTCTGATATAAGATGGAGCTTGGTAATTTAAGGGTTAATACAGTAGTAGCCATTAAAATTTTTTTTGTTGAAAGGCCCTTGGCTGGTCCCCTAAAAATCCTTTTTAAACATCAATCTTTGTGCTAAAATATTTTTTCTGTCATGATTTGTGGACATTAAGATCTAAAGAGAAGCACCTTCCCCTGAGATTTTGCTGGGAGTTGCAGGGAAGAAGGGCTGACATTCGACTGCCGTTTGACTGTGAAAGGCCATTTTTTCTGTTCTGAATTTAACAGGAAGCCAATGAAGAGAAGCCAGCATAGGAGAGATATGATCTCTCTTTAAATTTTCATCAGAACTCTGGCTGCAGCATTTTGGATCAGCTGAAGGCTTTTAACTACAGTTTGTGGACTTCCTGAACTGTTACTCACCAAAGTCAAATAAAGTGTGTAATGTAACTTCATTAAGACTGATATTCAGAGAGATGCACAAATATGTTTTGTGGCCAAATAATAAAATCTGTATGATATAAAGACTTAAGAGGCAAAAAACAGTGTCATTAGTGAGCTAATTGTATTTATTAGGATCAGAGGTGATAATTACCCTTAAAAAGTCATGAAACAGGGATTTTGATCAGTTTAAATATTAATTATCTTTCACATTTATATTAGCAGTAAAGAAGGAAAGTCTATGGAAAAACCATTATCCAATGTTTTCCGTAGAAAAACGCTAACTCTTTCTCCATCAGTAACCTTAACACTAAAAAGTTAATACACTCTAAGATGTGATGAATTCTGTGAACTAAAAAATTTGAAGTCCTGTCTAGATCTACAAAACAGATTTTTCAGTTTCTTTAGTTAGATAAGGACTGTGATTTTAAGCAGATTAAATATACAGATGATCTTTAAACTAGCACAATTATCAATATTGTCCTATAGATTAATGCATATTGGCTTTATTGGAATCCATTGGAAGAAGTGGTACATTTGATCTCACTTTGACTAAAAGCTAACCTAAGGCAGCTGTTAAGCAGTTTAAGAAATAAAGTTAATGATACTAACACAGCAAACACATTGCACTGTCAGATTTACAAAACAGTCTGCTGATTCAATGAATCTACATTGATTTTTAGTTGTGTTTTCACACTCTGGCAAACATCAGAATGTTTCCTGACATGTAGAACCTAATATAGTACATTTTCTCTTTATCATCACTATAGATGTTTATTTTAACTGAAGTAATCAACTTTGACAATTGATTAAAGCAATCAGTGCCTCCATAAAGCGCTGAAATCAGTGGATGAATGCTGATTTAGTTTGATTACACTGCACTGGGAAAGAAAACAACAATTTTTCTAACGTAATTTTAAGCAATTTACTTTATTCTGCTGAACACTTCTGTAACAAGTTTCCTTTTGGTTTGTTAAATCATATCAAATTGCATTTCCCCAGCACCCATCATTCTTATTCTTCATCTTATTGCCTCTTCCATCTTTCCAATCCCAATTAACATTTGTCGGGACTTGAGTAAATGTTTTAGAGGATTTTATTTCATTAGTGCTTTCTACCTCAGGTGCCTTTTTCTGTTCGATACACCTATACTTTGTTGATTTTCACACACACATTGCCTTTCACAAACTGGGTCTTGTTAAGTTTTGTCTCCATCCCGACAGCAAAGTTTTACAGTTAACTCTACACTCTGCCAGGGTTTCATTGATCTCCAGTTTTAACGATATTTAGACCTTTTACTCTCCTCATTGCCCAGCAGTTGTAAAAAACACTTTGCTTTTGGGGACTGGGAGATGCTGCTTGGGGCGTTTTTACTTTAATTATATCAGAAATATGAGCCTGTCTCCCAGTTTAGCTGTCTCAAACGGGAGATAGAAACATGTGCTGTATTGCAATAACAAAAGCATTGCTTTCATTCTGGTGTTAAATTACATGTCTAATATTGCTCCTCCTGATAATTATAGAAATGTAATTTAACCGCCTTTATCTCTGCTGACCAGAATCAAAACATCTGTTTTTTTTATTTCCAGCATAGCAGCCTGTAAATTACCAACACATTTATCATTATCCTCTGACCAATTAGAGTCAAGTACCCTCAGACCAGACGCCAAGCAGCTTGTATTTTATGACCAGAGCTTTTTCTATGTACTGCACTCAAGGGCTTATCAACCTTGACCCAGTTAGTGTTGAAGAAGGGAGTCAGAAAGTTCCAATTTCCCCCCTGTTTCATCAACTGGTTCCACCAGCAGTTATACTTTATGAGATACACATCCATCAGCTCCAGATGCCGAGTCTGTTTACTGACCTGAGGCCTTTTATTGCACTGATTCACACAATAAACACATATGACTTCGATGTGATTATTTCCACCCACTGCAGAACAAGATACCAAATAAATAACAATAACATACATTTTCTGCTGAAGGTGTTTCTCAGATTTGAAATGATTTTATTAGCATCTAACATTGAATTTATTAGTGAATATATTTACATATTCTGTTTACTGAAGGCCAACCACAGATTGTGTTAAAAATAAACTTTTATTAATTTTTCATCTTTAACTCTGAATGAATTATACACAGAATTGAGGGAAATAATTTTGGGCAGCTTTTTGTATTTTGCTAAAAGACTGTTTTGCTGTCAAACATGTTAAACATTATTTTCTGGAAATACATCTGAAATGAAAAATTGG